GCTTCCAGGACCTCATCTGAAACAGAGCACTATCATTAATTTTGCATGATTTCCTCTCTCAACAATGAAATGCCATTCTGCAGGCAGACCCCCGGGCAAATGAGCCTTTATGCAAGTTCAGGAGAAACGGGAAGCAGAACTTGCTTGCTGTAAAGTCTGAGACTTTTTTTGCCATGGGGTATCATCTTCCAGGATGAACTCTGGAGGCAAAGAGAAGAGCAAACATGTGCCTGTCAGTGATGCTAGCCACTGGCTAACTTTCTTTTCTCTTTTCACTTTCCAGCTGCTGGCTGTCCTTAGAGGGAGGTCTTCTCTATGCCTTCGTGGGACCGGCGGCTGCTGTTGTTTTGGTATTTAAGCTTGGCTGAAAGCTTTTTTTTTTTTCTTTTCTCTTTATCTTATAGTACTTTCCTTCTTCTTTCAACCCAAGAATGTCCTTCTTAATTTCCACTCATATTTTGATAGCTTTCTCCTTCAAGAATAAAAAGAAAAGTGTTAGAAACCAGCAATCTGGGGTGGGTTTGATTCTGAAATATAATATGCCTCAGTTCTCAGCCTTCCAGCTCTGTTTTCTCTGAAGTCCCCTAGACATCTGATTAATGCTTTACCTTGGTTTTGCCCTGTCAGGATGGAAGTACAGGATGATGGTGGAAAACTCTGACGTGAACTCCTTCAGAAATTGCTGTTACTGGTTGCTTTCAGACCAGGCTGCACCTCCACAGCTAGCTATAAATCCTGGCCTGTCCCAGATGATCAGTGCATGTGAGCAGCTTCTTTATTTGCAGGTGAAATAGAGGTCTTCAAATCAGTGCCAAGACCCTAAAAATGTCATGTTTTCTTCTAGTTCAAAGACATGACATGGTTAAAGTGAACTTTCCTAACCACTGTCTCACCAGTTCATGAGGGGACAGTTTCTACTGTCCCCTCACTCTTGGCTCCAACACAGCACCAAAACCAGTCTTGGCTAACTATTACTTGAGTTGAAGGTCTCACTCAAGAGATGACATACTTTCATCAGGCTTCCCCACTGTTGAAACCTCACTAACCATGAGAAATCTTGACTGTCAGGGTTCAAAGTATTTGAGAACTGCTGCTCCTCTAGGAAATCCCTCCCACAGCAATTTCAAATGGGTTTGATGCCACATTTGAGCCCTCACATGTAAGTGACAGTCTCCAGTTTCTCTCCAGTCCAGTGCTTTATCCAGTGGAAGAGCTGTACATCCTCTAAGGCTCAAGTTTCCTGGAGAGTCCCACAGGGATGGGGTTGACACTCGCAATTTCTTTTCCGGATCAGGCTTTTGTTTCACACAGTGCCTGGGGGGTTAACTGCCCTGCAGCAGCCTTACAGGAGAATAACTACACAAAAGCTCTTGCTACCTCTATTCTCACTGCTGTCATTGCACATCAAACCAAACCACCTTGGTGCCATCTTTCATCACAATGACAAAAGGACAAGCCAACTGTTGCCCCTGTTCTATAATAAAGAAAAGCTTGTATCAGTTAAGACCTTTCTTCAGCATAGGGCTGCAACACATAGTTGAGCCTTGTAGTGGGTTGACCTTGGCCAAATGCCAGGTGCCCACCAAGCTCCTCCATCACCCCGCTCCTCAGCAGGTTGGGGAAGGGAAAAAAATAAGATGGAAAAAAAAAACCCAAAAAACCCACCACTAAACTTGTGGGTTGAGACAGAGGCAGTTGAATAGAAACAAAGCAAAAATGTGCACGCAGAAGCTAAAGAACAAAATATTTATTCTCTACTTCCCATCATCAGGCGATGTCTGGCCACTTTCTGGGAAGCAGGGCTTTGTATGCGTAGCAGTTGCTCCGGAGGACAAACATCTTAAATAATGAATGCCCCCCCCCCTTCCCCCTCCATTCTCCTAGCTTTTATTTCTGAGCAGAAGTCATATGATATGGAATATCCCTTTGGTCAGTTCGGGTCAGCTGTCCTGGCTATGTCCTGTCCCAAGATCTTCCCCACCCCCAGCCTACGGGTGGGGAGACTGAGGGGAGAAATGTTGGAGAGACAGCCTTGATACTGTGTGAGCACTGCTTAGCAGTAAAACACTGGTGTGTTATCAACACCTTTCTAGCTACTAATGCAAAACTTATCACTCTGAGGTCTGCTATGGAGAAAATTAACTCTGTCTCAGCCTAGACCCAATACAAGCCTTCAGACAGCAGTCAGCAAAGAGTATGGATAAGCCACCGTTCATGCCAACCAGTCATTAGATCTCTGTAGGCACATGCTAGATGGATTTCCCTTAGTAATGTAGCTGATGGGTTTCAGGGTCTTGATAATTGACAGGAGCATTAAGTGGCTTAGTGCTTTTAGATGAACTAGATCTTTGCCCCAGCAACATAACAGCCAATAAGTCTAGCTCAATGGCTTGAATGCTTGATAGACAGCAGTGATTAGGAGAGAGAGAGCTTTGGTAGTACCCAGAGAAGGGGGAGTCAATCTACTACCTCAAGCCATCTTGCTTTTTTTTTTTAAAGCTAACAACAAGAGAAGTAATCCTTCAGCTTTCCTTAGCATTTTTAAAGTGTGAGAAAAAACACTTGAACCTGCTATCATTTGGCATCTCAGTTTTCACACACCGTCAAAGCTGGAAATGGAGATGTCCTTACAGAGAGGTCAACACCTGCAGATGGTGGTTCAGACAGCTAATCTTAGGAAGTGGTGAATCATCCCTGGGGATGTCTGTCTCTATTCAGTACCTAGAGAGAGAGATTACACACCTAGTTTAGTCTACCTGACTCATTGCTGGCTAAAGTAAGGAGTGACCGCTGCCCAAGTTGTTGTATATACTGAGGAGCTTGGAGAAGGAGAAGCAGCAACATTGAAAGCCTTTTTATAAATGGGACCCTGGGAAACAGATAAGCCCCATAAGTTACCTAAATTCACACTGTGACTTTTATCAGAGCCAGAAGTTAAACACACACTTTTCAAGCATGCATTGACCCCAAGCTGTCTGTTCTTCATGTCCTTTGTCTTGATTTCAGGTTGACCATGTCAGTGATAGAGGGACAGTCCACCTGGCTCAACATAAGAACAGTCAGGCTCTTGCAGGGCTATACAGGGGTTATAAAGCTGTGCTGCTCTCATGACTGCTTTGCTCCAGAGACAGTTGCTATTGAGCAGGTTGTGCACAGATCAAGATGGGACTTGACTCTGTGTCTGAGCTCTATCTCACCCAAACCTCTGATGACTATGATATAGAGATGCACAAGTTATTTTGCACACAGCTGACTTGACTACCGCTGGGCTGGTTACCTCTACCTTAGCCCTGTCCAGGGCTAGACTTGTGGTCACTCCTTCCAGATCATTCAAGCATCTCTGTATTGCAGTTCTCCTATAAACATGATTTTTCTATTACCTGTAGTAACCTTCTTCCTCCACACCCTCCTTTATTATTCATCACATTGGAAAAGGCCTTTTTCTTGAAGATTATCTTTACTCAATGATATTCTTAAGATGGTTGACCTGCATCTTCAGCAATATTTGCAACTTGCAGTCAGTCCACTAACACTGAACAGCTGCAAAGATTTGACCTTTAGTCTTAAAAATCCTAGAAATCTAAAATGCAGAGCTGTTGCAAGCAGTTTTACTCACCCAGCTCAGGTGAAACAGCCTGGTGATAATTGTGTGCAGGCTGAAGGCAACAGGATACTTCAGGGAGAGTCATCAGTCATCAGGTACTCATTATCTCAAGGGTTGAATCTCAGACTTGAGTCTTTGCTTCTGGGTAGTGTCCCAGAGATGAGGAAGTAATGGGGACAAACTTTTTAGCACGGTCTTGAAGATGATTTCAGCAATTAGGTGGAGGCTTGGTGTTAGCAGACATCTCCCTTCCTTTGGGCTATGTTATACTAAGTCTTAGTACAACAGTGGTCTTAGGATCACCTCTCAAGGATCTATTAAACTCACCAAGGCTCTCAGCTGACGTGTAATGTTGCACATCTCTGAATTTGGCCTTTAACACTGCCCCACACACAAAAGAGCATCTAGCACATTGTTCTATCAACACCAGATGTTTCACTGACAGCAAAACCAGGAGACTGTCACTGTTTTCCACCATCAGTGCTGTGCCTTCATGAAGAGGGTGGTGCTCGTGTCCTTAACGTGTTCTTATTCAGAGATTGCTAAGGTTTGTAAAGCAGATGCAGCTGTCAGCAGTGAATGCAGTCAAAAAAGGCACAGTGAGGAGTTTAGGATCACTTTGCAAGACCTCAGCTTTGTACAGCCTGTTTTTCACTGTGGATATTTATACGTCATCGATACAGGTATCCATGCTCTCACTCTAACAAAGCAGACTGAATGCAGTTGTCCTGCCCACGGATATTTTTGGAAATGACTAGATGGCTAATCTATGTGCTATGCCATCTGCCATATCTCTCAAGATAACCCACCATGGTCGCTGAAGTTTCTACTTGCTCCAGTGCCCCTCCACCTCTTATTTTAAGAGCACCAGTGCTGGTTCACCAAGCAAGAACTATGACAAGCTGTTTGCATTGCTCTGCCCCATCCTCCTAGTTCTGCTTCTCTGGTAGCAAAGACTCCAGAAGGCACCTTTGTATGTAGTTGTGTCACCTCACTGCTCTCCCCTGTATTGGCCACTTTCTATTTGTACTACCCTGAAAAATTGTTCTTATTCCTGGAGTTTGCCTTGCTAGACCTTGAGCATGCATTGGGCTTCAAACAGCCCTGCAGCAATCTGAGCACTTTACAGTCTTGTCTTGGTTCATTAAGATCTCTTTGATCTGCTGCCAGCTGCATTCTGCTGTCTTGAACTTACTGATGCATGGCTAGGGGAGGTGGGACAGGGTGGAGAAGGGACAGAAGTGATGGTGGTCTGCAGAATTATGACCATGCTACCTGGCTTTGAGAGAAATGAAAAGGACTTAGTATAACAAATGTTGGATTTTTTCCTTCTGTGCTACCAGATTTAACCTAACCCACTTGAGAAAAAAACTGTGTGTTGTTTCTCTTTCAACAGGTGAACATGGTTATTGGCATTCTGGTTTTTAACAAACTTGTATCCAAAGATGGAATAACAGATAAGAAACTGAAGGAACGGGCAGGGTATGCCTTATCAATACATCTAAGTAAAGAATGAGGATAAAATAAACAAACAAACAAGGTTGTGATCAATAACCAGGAAAGGAATGCAAAGAGAGATTGGTGATAAAAACAAAAAGCAAAAGCAAATTTAAACAAAGTGTAACCAAAAAAAGTACTTGATTTAATCTCTCTGCCTTGTCATTCAGTGCAGTGGAGACAACCCAAAGAAGCAGCACTGTGTTACTGTGGAGGAAGGTTAGAAGTTCATCTCTTTGTTAAAATGGCTTCAGCCCAGGCTGATATGTCCTCCCAAAGATTAGAGAGAGCAAAGTGATTCTTCTCACTACTACAGACAGCAGCTTAATCAGAGAGAGACTCATCATTGCTGAGTGTGGCACATGGCATGGGCTGTGTGACAGAGAAGCTGTGTCTAATGGCTGGCAGGTGACTGAGGGACAGCAAAGATAGGGGATGTTTTGGAGGAAAGAGTCTTTGGAGATCTAGCAGTGAACAGATTAATAGATGGATGGATGTATAAAGAGGAGGACTGGTAAGTAAAGATAACTCTTCTGCAAGAAAAATTTCTGAAACCACCTAAGGTTCTTTATCTTCTCTACAACCACCATCCCTGAAGCCTGGGGCTTGTGTTACCTGGTTTTCTTTGTAGTATAAATTGAAGAGCTGACTCCACAGTTCTTATCATCCTGGTCTCACAAGGGGTTGGCTGAGGTGGCAGCTGCAGTGTGGAGTTCTCTGTTAGGTTACTTCCAAACTGTTGACAATGTCTATTTTGTCATTAGCTCCGGCAGGCTGAGACCATTCTTCATCTTTGTTTCTAGAAAAGAGTCTGTAGCCTGTTCAGATGTTATCCCTGAGCTATGCTGTGATCCAAGCAAAGGACAGAAATGACATGCTGACGTGCTGGGTCAAATCAAATGCACAGGTCAACCTGGCTGATGATGTTAGTATGTTATTTTCCACTGCCTGACTTGGCTTGCTGTTGCATTCAGAAGAACTATCTCTTTACCTGCTGCTAGGAAAGACAGGGCTGTTTGCTCTCACTTATCCATTGATAGTGTTTGATTTATCAGTGCAGATAATTTCTAGAAATAAATTGTTTACAAAGAGACAAGAAGAGCGAGAAGTATCTTAGTGCCTCTGCACTATGGCTACAGGCAGAGCCTAAAACTGAGAGCACATGTGTTATCTAGAGCACATGTCTTATGAGGAGCAGCTGAGGGAACTGGGGTTGTTTAGCCTGGAGAAAAAGGAGGCTGAGGTGAGACCTTCTAGCTCTCTCCAACTCCCTAAAAGGAGGATGTAGAGAGGTGGGGGTGGGTCTGTTCAACCAAGTAACAAGTGACAGGACAAAAGAAAATGGCCTCAAGTTATGCCAGGGCAGTTTAGATTGGATGCGAGGAAGAATTTCTTTCCTGAAAGGGGTTCTCAGGCATTGGAAGGGGTTGTCCAGGGCAGTGGTGGAGTCCCCATCCCTGGAGGGATTGAAGAGTTGTGTAGACATAGTGCTGAGGGACATGGGTTAGTCGGGGACTTGTCAATGTGAGGTTAATGGTTGGACTCGACAATCTTACAGGTTTTTTTCCAATCAGGGCAATTCTGTGTGATTCTGCAAGGCTGGTGGAGAAGACACAGGATATAGTCTATCTATGAAAGCAGAGGGAGCATGGCCTTGTTTGCTACATTCCCAGGCTTCATAGAGAGGATAACCTGCTTTATTCACTGCTGTGATGCAAAAGCCTTGGGCCCTAAAATTGGGTCCTAATGGGTAGAGGTAGAAAGCACAGATGAAGTTCAATATTCCTGTCATCACACTATTGAGTAGTTCTGGTGGAAGTGATTTTTAATTTAGTGATGGCAGCAAAACTGAGGGCAGAAGAAAGCTCTTATCCCGCCTGGGGAGAACACAGGAACCTATTAAGGTTCATGTTTTATCAGCAGTGTTGACATGGCCAAGCAACGTGGTCCCTCAGTGTAGGAAAGAGGGGAAACTTGATGCCTAAGCAGTGCCATGGTCATGATAATAAGAGGAGACAAGCACGTTTGGATGATCGGAAGTATCGATTGCTGCTGGGTTGAACAGGTACATGAAGAAGTGACCTTGGTGCATTTCTTAAAGCAGCTGCTAACAAGCGAGTGCTTTATTCTGGATGATGCCTTCTTTACAAAGAGAGAACTCCAGGAAATACCTGAACTGCAGTCTGTAGCAAGATAATTGCACTTGAAAGTCAGAGCTGAAATAAATGGTTTATTGGATTAGCAGAGCGGTGAGTTACTCTCTCAGTCTCTCCCTCTCTAATCTAAACTGGATACCAAATGACCTTATTTAATACATGGCACCTGGTTATTGATCACATTCGTGGTTGTACTTTGTAAACAAAGCCTACAAAGCAAAAAAAAAAAAAAAGTCATTTTTCTGATGTTCTTTGTTTTTTCTTTCTTTTCTCTTTTTTTCCCTCCTCTTCCGTGTCCGTGTGTGTGTGTGCAGCACTTTTAAACCTTCTCTGTGCTCAATGATTTTGTTCTCCTTTCAAAGTGCACCCGCTGAGAGTGTGGAAGCACTTTTGAGAGCTCTGGTGCCCTTTCCCTTTAGCTAGCCGCTTCTGGCCTGGGCTTGGGAACCGTGTTGGAAGGTAGATCTGAAGATAATCAGAATGAGTAATGGCCTTGGAATTGTTTGGATCTGAGGAGATGGTATAAAGAAACCTTGTGTTTTCCTTTAGCAGAGGCAAGAAGTATGGTTTGGTGTTGCAAAAACAATATCAAAGGGAAAAAAACACAGAAAAGAAAAAAAGAAAAAGACTTGTTGAACATTGAGAGGGGTCCAGAACACCTGTCACAGATAGGCTGGCACAAATAAATCAGTGCTAAGAGTTCCTGTGAAATAATACCCAAGACATGATAAGTTTTGCCCTATACTTAGCAGAGGAAATTGCTATGATTACTGTTGTCACAGCTGTCAGAAAACATTGACTTTCTAATGGCAATGACTATATAGGTTGTAGAGAGTTGGATGTGATTACCTGGTGAGCTGGAGAAATGCACACAACTGCCCCAACTCCTGTCTGGGCACAGGAGAAAACTGTGCAAGTGTCTCCCAGCAGAAAGGTCTGACAGGGTTTGAGGTCTATTGACAGGAGTGTTACTACAAATGAATGTTTTAATGTCAGACACAGGAGCCTTTAAAATGAATTCTAAATTTATTGAGCCAGCATTTATTCTAGAAATGTTTGTGTGCTCACGCAGCCAGGGAAGAAGAATAAGACTAGAGGGTATATTCACAAAGGCTAATTTTAGCCTGCTGAGTTTAATCTCCCTAGGCTTCCTCTGTAGCTACTGGAGAGAGACAGAAGCATTGTTTAGTTGTTCCAACTTTCCCCTGAGAGGACCTTTACTTCTTTTATCTCTCTGTTGATTGTAGAGATGACTTGAGAAAGTTTGCCCCGATACCTTGTGTGAAATATTCTGTCCTGGCAGGGTGTAATGGAGCTGGATTGTCAGTGCATAGAAAAGAAAGTAATTGGAAAGATAATAACAGCATTAAAATAGAAATAGATTCAGATTGCCCTTCATCTGGGAATGTTTCATGTTGGAAGCAGTGCTCCTACTCTTTGGACCGTGTGTGGTGTAAAGCACCGTTCAATAAAAGGTAGCAAAGTCCAGGCTCCAGTGAACACACCAGATGAGTCCATGAGCTGTTTGTGGATATTTAGGAAGCAGAAAAAGCTAAATTAAATGAATGCATTATTCACTGTGATTATTTCATTAGCTACCCTTTCATACATACAGGCACCAATAGAAACCTGCTATGGCAATTCAATATATTAACAACTTCATGCCCCCAACAAAAACAAATTAGAATATAAATGTATCCACATCTGTGCCTACTGTTTACAACTTTGTGCATAAATACACCCAACAGCAGTTACAGTTATGTGTTATAGTGGTCTTTTGGCCAGTTCTTTGTGATTCAGTGTCATTCATGTTTTTTCTGGTATAGTTTTCCATCAAATTCCTCAAATCAATCTACTTTCTTTTTGCTGCCTATCTCTGCCTCTCTCTATCTCTCTGCTTATCTGTTCTTTGTGGCGTATAGATCTGGGGATAAGCTGTCTTTTTTTAAGGGTCATGCACTTAATGCCTCTCAAGACCCACTTTATCTTTGGTTCAGCTGTTGTCCTCACTGGATTTACACCATCCTTCCTGGAAGATATGCATATACTGACACAGGAGCTAATTTTCACTGTGTCTGAAGGCTGAAAGTTTCTGTTGGATACCTTAACCATTATTCTGGAAGGGAGTAATGGTTTATGTCACTATAACTAATTAAAAGACCAATCAATAGCCACTTGAAAATGGGCCACTAGGACCACTGATAATGCTGTGTTGGTGTTCATGGGGATGTCCTTTTTGCAGTGAGACTGAACACAAAGCTGTAAAAGTTAAGAAACAATCTGTCAAATTTCCTAATCTCTCTCCCAGGCAGGGTAGGGCTGTAAAACCCCTGACGTTCAGTACCTGTAAAAATCACCCTTCACCAGCTGCACTGCCATCACCCAAGAGTGAAAGACCTACTGTCCTTTGGTAATGATGTTCATGCCTTCTCTAATATCAGGCACTTCATGTAGGTCTGTAGGATGTTTTGTAGATTCTTGCCTATTTTCTAAGACGGAGCTGATGTGGACATCTATCTGTGCAACTCAAAGAGTGCACACAAACTAGTAAATTCTGGGAAGAAGCAGGGCCAATGCCAATCTAATGTGGCTTCTGGGCTCCTGAGTAAGAGCTGGCTTGTTAACTAAGTGGGTTCACACACATCCGCTTCTACCAGGGAGGTGGTTATGGCACCAAGCCTGATTATATTCCAGAAGCATTTGGACAAGGCCCTCAGACACATGGTCTGAATCTTGGGACTGTCCTATGATAGGTCAAGTGTTAGGCTAGATCCTTTTAGGTCCCTTCCAACTCACAACATTCTATGATTCTACAATTCTAAAAAGCAT